CCTTCCATTCCTAGTTTGTTGAGTGTTTTTATTATGAAAATGTTTTGAATTTCGTCAAATGCTTTTTCTGTGTTAGTTGAGGTGATCGTGTGGTTTTTGTCCTTTATTCAATTAATTTGGTGTATTACATTGGTTGATTTTTCTTATGTTAAATTAACTTTGCGTTCCTGGAATAAATCCAACTTGATCATGGGATATGATCTTTTTATTTGTTGGTTTGCTAGCATTTTGTTGAGGATTTTTGCATCTATATTCATAAGGGATATTGGTCTGTAATTTTCGTACCTTTGTCTTGTTTTGGTAACAAAGTAATACTGTGTTTCAGGATAATAGTGGCCTCATAGAATGAGTTGGGAAGTGATCCCTTCTCTTGTATTTTTTGGAAGAATTTGTGTAATATTAGTGTTAATTCTTTAAATGTTGATAACTTTGATCTTTGAAGCCATCTGGTCCCATGGTTTTCCTTGTGTGAGGTTTTTATTATTTTTATTTTTTATTACTAATTCAATCCCTTTTCTTGTTATAAGTCTAGTTAGATATTCTATTTCTTAGATAAGTTTTGAAAATAGATAGGTTAAAGGTCAATTTGTCAAATAAAATGAGGAGTTGTTCTTTCCACTTGAAATGACTGCTGTGACAGTGTTGAATTTCCAATGTGGTTTTGAGGAGTAAGTCCATGGAATGCAACCCCTCCCTGCTCTCCTGGGTCTGCTCCTGCCTTGCACTTGGGATTTCTTCAGTAGAGACCCATCCCTTCAGCGGGTCTGAGGTCTGGCCTGTGGAGAGGCAGGGGAAGTCAAGGGAAAACCCACAGGTTGTAGAGACAGAATAACAAGTTCAAAGACCATTCAGGCATCTATCAGTCAAGTTCTACAGCCTCTTTAGGCCAATTTTCTCACCTGTAAGGGAGGTAGGGTAATAATGGGCTCTTCCTCACAGGGTTGGGGGACAGGCTTGGATATGCACACGGGCCTCGCTAAGCCTCCTTTCTGCCCCTCTGTCCCCACTCCCTTCCTGCCCTCCCAGCTCTTCGGTGAAGGAGGAGGAGGAGCCCGCACTTTTAAGTGTAGGAGGAGGTAAGTGAGGAGGCTGGTTTCAGAACCTCCAGCAAACAAAGCCTCAGTGTTCCCAGAGGAGCGCCCCTGTACCGCCTCTTTACTGGGGATGGGGGGTAGGAGGAGTGGGGTGCGGCTGAGGTATTTTCCCAGCGTCTGCTTAATCACTTCTCCCATCCATCTGACCTGCTCCCTAGAATGGAAGAAATGACCCATGGGAGAAGGGAGGGCATCTCAGGTGAGTGCCTAGTCTCACCTGGACCTATGTTTTTGAGAATATTTGCATTACAAAGCTTCTTGCAAAACCTGGGAGGACTTCCTGTTAACCATGAGGAGCCCCGTGCAAATCCCAAGCTCTAATCCCCACCCTCCCTCCCCTCTCCCCCAACCCTCTGCCCCAGTACACACCCGGTGTACCCCTCCCTTAGGTAATGGAAAGATGGATGAGATGGGATGTTTATTCAGCAACTCCCTTGCTTCATTGCTTTAGGGTTGTCCATGGAGGATTAAGCCCCTGGCACTTCTGAGATGCTCTGTAAAGAGATGAACAAGCACCAGGGACATAACAGACAGAAAAAAAACAGGAGCCTGAGCTGGCTGAGAAAGGAAGCAGGCGTTTGCTAGAATGGCACTCTGGGCTGCAAGGAACTTGGCAGCGAGGGAATATTGGGTGAGACATCCACAGTGCCTGAGTAAAGATGCTTGTTCTTCGACAGCCCGAGGTTGAGGTGATGTGGAAACACCCAGCAGGTAGGCAGGGGACAGACCTGGAGTCCAGCCAGCCTCACAGTGGGCAGGGCTGGGTGTGAGTGTGGACAGGTGTCAAAGGAGGGAGATGAGTGGACAGCTCAGCAACTGAGCTGGGATGCATCCCAAGTCTAGGGCATAGGGATGGAGGCACAGTCGGTCAGGAGGGCAGAGACCCGGCTGCCCCAGAAAAAGGAACTGCAGAGACATGAAATGAAACTCCTGAGAGGCAGCGGGGGCCAAGTGGACCTGGTAAAGCAAGGAGGACGGGAGTAGGAAGGTGGCAGCAGGGGTGTTTGGCCATGGGCATGTTTCTCTGACCCAGTTATCTCATCTGTGAGACAGCACTGGCCTTATTCCCTGTCTTTTAGGGTTACTGTGTGCATTAACAGCTTAAAGGCTTGGCACAGGGCCCAATGATTAGTAAGTGCTCAATGAAATTTTTTTTTAATCAGTTATAATCGAAAATTGAGCATGTTTGAAGAGGAGGATGATAATCTTGTTATGCAAAGAAGGTAGAGATCTGGGCTCTGAGGGGCCCTCACCTGATTATGCATGTGACCCCTCACACTTGGAATGTGCTGGAAATCTGATGGCCTGGTTGACCCTTTCTGAAACTTCTTGGCGGTTCTGGAGCACTCGCTTTCATTAAATGATAACATTATTTGTGCTGAAATCTGCCTGGGTTTGCCTGTCTCTTAGTTATTTTATTTTAATAACAAATTCTTTTTTTAGTCCTCGCCCGAGGACTTTTTTTTCATTGCCTTAAGAGAGAGAGGAAGGGAGAGAGGAAGAGAGAATAAGAAACATTGATGTGAGAGAAGCATCAATTGGTTGTCTTTCATATGTGCCTAGACTGGGTATTGCACATGCGTGGACTGGGGAACAAACCCCGCAAGGTATGTGCTCTGACCGGGTGTCGAATCTGCAACCTTTCAGTTACTGGACAATGCTCCAGTCAACCGAGCCACCTGACCAGGGCTGTCTCTTAGTTATTTTAGTCTCTGGACCAAGCATAGGAAACCCAGCAACCTGGATTTTATAATTAGAGCCCATAGATACTCCTTGTCACTTCTGGGACACACCCTTCCCTCTGCAAACCTCTCTTTGATATTTTTGGACATCAGTACCAAGCTCATCTGCGTATTTCCACCAGTCAATATGCAGGTCCTGTGATCTGAGAGATTTACTCCACAGGGGGCATCAGGCCAGTCTTGGACTTAGTTGCACTTCCTCCGTGGCAGACTATTTCTGCATGTTATCCAGCAGTCCCCTCTTATTCACGATGTCTTTTTCCCTGGTTTCAGTTACCTGTGGTGATCCATGGTCTGAAAATATTAAATGGAAAATTCCAGAAATAAACAATGCATCAGTTTTCAATTGCTGGCCATTCCAAGTTGTGTGATAAAATCTTGCCCCGTCCCGCTCTGTCCCTCCCAGGACGTGAATCATCCCTTTTGTCCAGTGTCTCCACACTGTAGGTGCTCCTTGCCCGTTAGTCACTTAGTAACTGTCTAGGTGATCAGATCGACTGTCGCTGTCTCACCGTACTTATGTTCAAGTCACCCTCGTTTTACTTAATGATGGCCCCAAAGCCATTCACGTAACTTTTATTACAGTCTGTGGTTTAATTGTTTATTTTATTATTCGTTGTTGTTCATCGTTTACTGTGCCTAATTTATAAATTAAACTTTAGCATAGGTATGCATGGGTAGGAAAAAAAAACACAGTATATATAGGGTTCTGTACTATCTGTGGTTTCTGGTGTCTGTTGAGGGTCTTGGATATATCCCCTGTGAATAAGGGGGGACTAATGCACCAGTGGAAATTTCTGCAGTGACAGGAGGTCTTGTATCTGTGCTGTCCAAACAGCGGCTACTAGACCCCTCTCACTACTGAGCATCGAAAATGTGGCTGGTGCAACTGAAGAATTGAATTTTAAAGTCTACTTGCTTTTAATTAAGTTTAAATAGCCACATGTGGACTCCTGGCTACTGTAAGAGACAGTGTACTCTGCAACAGTAAACTTTTCAAGGGCTGGGACTGTGTCTTATTTATCTGTGTATCCTCTTCAAGATAACAACAATAATGCTAGTAATGCTAATAATGCTAATAATAGTAACTCCTTATATTACACTTATATCATGATTTAGGGACGCTTCTCATGACCAGAGTGTTAGTGAAGCCTCCTGGTGGTCCTATTACTGTTTCGGTGCAGCCAATGTTTACTGAATGCTTGCTCTGTGCCAGGCACTGTCCCACATGTTTCCCAGGTATTGACTCATTTGTGCCCTATGAATTCCCCCATTCTGCAGGTGATGACACTGAGACACAGACCTATCAGTACCTTGCCTGAGTCACTCCACTAGAAAGTAACAAAGCTGGGCTTTAAACTCAGGTGTAGTCTGGCTCACATTTGACCCAATGCTTTTATGCCTCAGATCACCCTACTGTTATCTAGCTTTTCCCATTTTAATCTAGCTAGGCTTGTCTGACTCCCGGACTAGAAGGCTTGTCATCCTGGAAGACATTTAGGGGTCTCGTGCCACCACCTTGTGCACAAAGACCAGACCTAACGGAGCTGACAATGAGGCCTTATCTACGAAGGAAGGGCGCAAGTGAGGACAGCTGTTGCACGTGGACCCTAACCATTACTACAACTGCTCGGCATTTATTGTGCCCAGGAAGACAGAACTACATTTCCCAGGAAGCAGTTCGGCCTCTCGCCGCCCCTCCTCGCGCTCCTCCCCGTCCCGCCTCGGGGCCGGCTGGTATATAATGGCCGAATGGCCAGGCCCAGAGCAGAGCGCGGAGGCGGCGCGGGCGCGCAGGTTCCTTGAAGAGCCGGCAGGACGCGGCCCCGACAGCTGGCAGACGCCGCTCCACGCTGCCCGCGCCCCTGGACCTCCTGTGCCCCGCGGGCGCCCACCCAACGCTCCCTGAGCCCCGCAGACCTGCTAACCCGAGACGGAGAGCGGATTTACCCTTGGCTCTTTTCTGGGCTTGGCAGAGGGGTTCCGGCGGGAATCTGGGCTCGCGATAGCGATGCGCAGCCAAGGGAGGCGAGGAGCTGCGTCCGGGCTGGGTGCTCTCCCAGAGCGAGGAGGCGGGATACCCTCGCCGGGGTCCGCGGGGCGGCCCGCACCCCCTCGAAGTGTGCGCCTGCCTCCGGGCCTGGGAAGGCGGCCCTTGGGAGCCCTGGCCGGTGAGCTCCCCGCGATCTCCGTGGGTCGCGAGCGCAGAGGCCGGCTGCCAGCTCTTGGACCCTGGATGGAAAGTGAGTAATGGGGTGAGGTGCTTCGGACCCCTAACGTGGATTACATGGTGCGTATCAGCCGAGCTCAGAAGACTCACGACCTCCCCGTCCGTGGATTGATTCATTCTACCTAGCAGTCGGGTCGCCTACCTGGAGGTAAGTTTTCCTGCAATTCGGCAGAGGGGTTTGATTTGACTCCCCACCCCCACCACCCCGCGTCGCTTTCTGAAGGTCTCGAGGTTCAGGGTTGATACATTTTTTTTCTTGTAATTGACATCTCCTTGGAGGACATTTTAGCCATCCTTCTGTCTCCAGACAGAGCTGCTCGCCCGGGTCACGGCGGTCAGCGCCCATGCCGGGTGTTCTTGGTCATCGCCCCGCGGCCCCCAGCGCCGCCCAGCCGCTGGCGGCCCCGCGGGACCGAGCCCAGTCTGGGGAAAGGTTCCGCGTCAGCGGCGCACTGCGCGGCCTCAGAACTTACCTTTTCGCCTCGTCGACCTCCGGGACCCGTTACTTAGGGAGCGCAGCCGCCCCGCCTCGGTAAGCTCCTGGCGTCTGGCCACTGGCGACTCAGAATGCGACCGGGGTGCAGCGCTGGGGAAGGCGACCGGGCCCAGCCCCTCTCGCCACTGGGCATGGAGGACAGATGTGTTTCTGGATGTCCCTGGTCGGCTTTACAGCAAGGACTGGGTCACCCGTCGGGAAGACGCTGGCATGGCGTGGGTAGGTCTCTGAATGGGTGGAAGGTGGCAGGAATTCGGGCCACTGCGTCCCTCTGCCATTCCCCCCCGCCCCCCAACCCCGTCCCCTCCGCCCAATCTGTTAATGGAAGAGGTTTCCTGGCCAACCGCGCCTGTATCCATGGACCCTGCTTTCTTCGTCCTTTCTGTGTCCGCACTGTTTTGGGCAGCACGGTGCCTGTCACTGAATGGCGCAGAATAGATAGATGTTCGTTGAATCAAAGGCTGAGCCAGTCCTCCGTGATGTGCCGATAAACCAGGGTCCTCCTTTTTCTTCTCCCTCTTTGGCGCTGGTCCTCAACCCCTGCAGATGGTTTCCTGGAGGTGCTTTCCCAGATGTGGGATTCCCTCCCCTCCCCCCAACCCTACTAGCCGCCTGTCTGCCCTGATCCGTTTCCCCGCTTAGGGCCTCTCCTGCATAGAAAACTTCTGGAAGCTGTCAGGGGTCTCCCTGATGTTTGCTCAGGGTGCTGTTGCCCAATGAGCACCTGCTTGGGGGAGAAGGAGGGCCAGGCCCATAGGAAGAAAAAAAGTCGTATATGTTGGTACTGTACCCTCCCCCAGGAGCTGTGCCTCTGGCCTCACCAGATCCCTGGAACGGCCCAGCTGGTGCAGCCACCATCCTTGTAGCTGTCGCCCTCCCCCGCGCCGCCCACCCCCTTCCCGCCCCACCCCCCCGCCCCTGCCAGCCCTTAGGAGGGGAACTATTGAAACTGTCCTACTGATGACCCACTGCCGAACTTGTGCACCCCGTCTGATTTTAAAAGTAATTCGCGCCCTTTCTCTGTTTTATAGACTACTATAAAAAAGCGCAAAAAGCAGGAAAAACCACTCAGTTCCCACAGTAATGCTGTCAATTGGACATATTTCTTCCCTGCTGAAACCCTGCAATATATACAACGTTGTTTCCTGCTTTTTCCCCCCACGATTTTATTTGGACGGTTCCCCATGTGATGACTGTATTCCGCCCCAGGCATTGAATCATAATTTGCTTGACAATTCCCCATTGTTGGACACTGAGGTGTTTCCAGATTTTTACCCTTAATGCATTGGTGAGCATCTTTTGTACGTAAGGATTTGTCCACATTTGGGATCATTCCCTTTGGGAAATTTCTGGAGATCACTCTTTGCTTTAAGTCACAGTCGTGTCTAAAGTCGAAAGAGTGTGATTCTTGGTGGACATTTCTGAGGTGGACTTTCCTGAGGGGAGCACCACTTACCCATCAGGCAACCCAGGTCTGGGAGCCAGAACACTGTGGCTTTTTTGTTTTGTTTTGTTTTTCCTGCAGCAAAGAGCTGATCAGCATTGATATGAGACTAGTAGAATCCGCCTTCACGACTATGATGTAAATTATGTTAGTGAAACTATAGGTTAAGATGAAAGTTGCACTAATAGGGCATGGATTTCTCCTACACCCTTCACCCAGCTTCCTTAGTGTCAACATATGACATACCCACAACCCCCTGCTCTACCCCCTGGGATCAGCATTGGCCATGGGACAGCCTCCAGGCCTTACTCAGTTTTCTGCAGTGGTCCCACTGAAGTCCTTTTAGTGATTCAGGATCCTGCATTGCAGAAAATGCTGTCTTATAAAAAGGGGAGAGTTGGGAGGGGTTCAGCAGACCATCGTTTTTTTAAAACCTTGTTATTGAAGTATGACTGACATAAACATATATATATATATATATATATATTTTCAATGTATACAACTGGAGTTTGGTAGTAAGTATACACCGTGAAACCCCGCAATCTGTGTCATAAACATATTCATTGCCTCCAAAAGTTTCCTCCCACCTACTTTATTATTATTTTTGTGTGTGTGATAAGAACAGTTAATAAGAGATCTACCCTCTTAGCAAATGTTTAAGTATACAATACAGTATTGTTAACTGTAGGCGCTAACTGCACAGGAGAGTCTAGGATTTATTCAGGAGAAGGTTTACAGTGGAGAAGTCCCCTTCTTCCTCTTCCCCAGGTAAACTCTCCCTCGCCCCTATACACGGCCCGCAGAGCAGATGAGACCGTCCAGCGCCCGAGGGGCGAGTGGGGGAGCCCTGACCGTGAGGGGGATAAGCTGCTCTGTGTACCCCACTCCATCCTTCTCCCTAAACCTCCACAGGGATTGGGTCGTTTAGTAAAAATTGGGCTATAACCAGATCTGTCCTGACCCGTCTTCTGTGGGGTAGGTGGGCGGATGACATCTGGTGTGCGTGAGAGCAGTGAGCCGCCGGCCCGAATCCGCCGTTGACAAGTCCTGCGTGCCCGGCCTGTGCGGGTGACTCACGCTGCCGAGCAGCAGGTGTGTCGGGTGCTTGGCGTGCAAACCCAGCCAAGAGCATTTCCTGGTTACCTGGGCAGATTTAAAGGAACATGGGTTTCTGCTCTCACCTCAGAATGGGTTTAGGGTATTGTCCAGCAATCTTGGGCCAGGAAGGGGTCCCCCTTCTCTTTTGGGGACTTATTCCACCAGAGAGGGGTGAGGAGAGCCAGCCTGAGGCGTTTTGGGAAGCTACCAATGGCGATGGAGTCTGGCCTGGTCTAGTGTCTTTGCATGAGAGGCTTGTAAGAAATTGGGGAACCCAGGAAAAGCCCCTTTCCTGCCCCCCATGCCAGAGACCCCATTAGTCCAACCTTCCCCCACAACACACTCGTGAATGGGGGCCGTCGGCCCCAGTATCTCTGTCTGCGCCAACTCGAAGTGGTCACCCGCACAGGGCAGGTGATATTTGTTTGGGACAAGAAAGTTTTGAGGTTTCTTAAATCTCAACAAAACCGACTTTTGTTGTCCGAATAGAGTTTCTCTGTTACTGTTAGGGTATGATCGCCTAGGCTTGACTTTTCTTTTCCTCTTTGAAATGCTCCCAGTCTTCCTATTGTAACTGGTAAACTGAAGCATAGTCCCCCTGTCCCTCTGTCCCTGTCCCCCTGTCCCCACCCCACTCCCACACTGGCACGGACGGTTTCCGTAACCTGCCAGCTCCAGTGAGGATCATAACAGGAAGTCTCGGTGGGAGAGGGGTTGGGGATGTTGTGTCTCAAGGGTTCTGGAACAGCCTTCTGTCTACACCTGCCTCGTCCAGTGTCCTCTGAGGCCTGTCTTCTCAGGAGCTGCCGCTCTGCCCAGATCAACAGGAGCCCAGTTCAGATGCTCCGCCGGATCCCCTGGTCTTTGAGTTGTCGTTCGCATAAGAATGAATTGGTTGGAGAACTTGGTAAAAACTGGGATTCTGAGTGGCCCTTCCTGCCTGGCCCCCAATATTAGAGGTTCTGTTTGGTGTGTGTGGGGGTGGGGAGCGCTCAGGGAGCTACATTTTTAACAGGCTGCGCAGGCTGCTCCCGTACAGATGGACACTTTGAGAAACGGGGAGTTCACTGGATTCTCGGCCAGCTAAAGCCCAAATTGAATCTTTTCCTGCTGAAGCTTACCCAGCTACATAGCTTCCCTTTTCTTCTCCTTCAGGAAGCCTTCCTGGCCTACCTCCACCTGGTCTGGGTTGGTCCCCACATGCTCTTATTTGGTTTGTTGGTGAAGGTTTTGATGTAGAAGTCTTGAAATCAGGCACCCTTTGTACTTGGTTAAGACAAAATGGCTGCTTTTGGGCAAAAGAGAAAGGAACCGCATTTTTGAACTTGAGGAGTGAATTGTATCTGCAGTCTCTCCCCTTGGGGGTGGGGGTTGTAAGTTCCCCAGGAGCTTGGAAAGTGCCCTTTAATAGATAGCTTCCTGGTACATACTTTCATGTGCCATGGAGACCACTGCTACTGATGGCTCACGTCATCCTAGGCCGCGTCCACGGTCACTGTGGGGCTGGTTTGGGTCCTCCACACCAAGTTAGCACCCCCTTCTTCACATGACGGATGTACTTAGCTTACCGGATGTGAGGACGAGGTGGTCCTGGGTGAATTTCCTCCCTTTGAACTGTGCCATTGGCTAAAAACACTCTGTCTAGAAGCGCTTGGATTCCCTTGCTTTACAGACTAGGTCTATGCCCAGGAAAATGTCTGTACCAAACCAATCTTGGTTGGTCACATGCTACACGGAAGGCCTGGAGGAAGCGTGCAACCTAGAGGAATGCTGAAGTGGCGAGTTTCTGTCAAAGAATTCTTTTTGTGATGTGAATCATCCCGTCCTCGTGTAGTAGCTGGTCTGTTGGTACAGGTTTTTACATAGAAGTCTGAAACCAGGTGCCTTTTGTAGTTGGTTAAGATGGAAGTGGCTGTATTTGGGCAAATGATAAAGGGGCGGTGGTTCTGGGTCTCAAGAAAGATATCAGACCTCAGTCTCTCCCCTTGGGCCTGTGAGGCTTGTGGAAGTTTGGAAATGCCCCTAATAGGACCTGATTTAAATGGTTTCAGACCCCCTTCCTTTGTCGGAAACATTGGCCCTTGAACTCATTTTACTGTAGTGATTTCCT